TCCACTTGCGTGGGTTCGAAGATCCCAATTCTGACAATGTATTTCTTTCTGCAGTCATTTTGAGGTTAAAAACTACATGCAGGGAAAGCTATTCTGCGTGTCAGGATGGCCGAGCGGTCTAATGTGCTGCAATCAGGTCTAGTCCACTTGCGTGGGTTCGAATCCCGCTTCTGACAAGGTATTTCTTTCAGTCATTTTTTGAGGTTAAAAACTACATGCAAAGGAAAGCTATTTTACGTGACAGGATGGCCGAGCGGTCTAAGGCGCTGCGTTCAGGTCGCAGTCCACTTCTGTGGGCGTGGGTTCGAATCCCACTTCTGACAATAAAATTTTATTCACATACTTTTCTTAGTTTCCAAACACTAATGTAATGGAAACTTTTTCACATGTCAGGATGGATGATCGGTGTAAAGGCGCTGCGTTTTTATCACATTCCGCTTCTGTGGGCGTGGGTTCGAATCCCACTACTGACAATAAAATTTTATTCAGTCATTTTTTTTTTTAGTTCTCATAACTTATTTGTAAGGAAACGCTCTCGCACGTGTCAGGATGGCCGAGCGGTCTAAGGCGCTGCGTTCAGGTCACATTACACTTCTGTGGGCGGGGTTCTACTTCCCTTCTGACAATTTATTTTAGTTCCGTTATTTTTTTTTTTTTTAGTTCTCATAAAGAGTAAATTAAAGGAAACGTTTTCTTAAATTTCAGGTTGGCCAAGCGGTCAAAGGCGCTGCGTTCATGTCGCAGTACCGCCCGGTTTGGCGTGGGTTCAACTCCCGTCGAGCAATTAATTTTATTGAGTCATTTTTTTTTTAGTTTTCATAAACTAAATGTAAAGGAAACGTTTTTCACGGGTTAGGATTCATGAGCGGTCTAAAGCGCTGCGTTGATGTCGCAGTAAAATTCTGCAGGCGTGGTTTCTTATTCCACGTTTTACAATTATATTTCATTCATTCATTTTTTTAAGTTCTCATTAATTAAATGAAAGGAAAAGATCTTTCACGCGTCAGGATGGCCGAACGGTTTAAGGCGCTGCGTTTAAGTCGCAGTAAAATTCTGTGTGCGTGGGTTCGAATTCCACGTTTGACAATAAAAATTTATTCAGTCTTTTTTTTTTAGTTCTCATAACTTAAATGTAAGGAAACGCTCTCGCATGTGTCAGGATGGCCGAGCGGTCTAAGGCGCTGCAAGGTCAGTCCGCTGGTGGGCGTGAGTTCGAATCCCACTTCTGACAATGTATTTCTATTCAGTCATTTTTTGGGTTCCAGGGGGTAAGCTTTTTGCGTGTCTGGACGGTCGAGCGGTTTAATTCAATCCCGGGTCCCAGTATACTTGCGCGTTCGCGGGTCAAACTCCACGCGTCGAGCAATTATATTTCATTTTATTTTTTAGTTCTCATAAAGTAAATTAAAGGTTACGTTTTCTTAAATTTCAGGATGGCCAAGCGGTCAAAGGCGCTGCGTTCATGTCGAAGTCCACCCGGTTTTGGCGTGGGTTCGAATCCCACTTCTGATAATGTAATTTTATTGAGTCATTATTTTTAGTTTTCATAAACTAAATGTAAGGCAAAGATTTTTCATAGGTTAAGATTCCTGAGCGGTCTAAAGCGCTGCGTTTAGGTCGTAGTAAAATTCTGCAGGCGTTGTTTCGGATTCCACGTTTGACAATTATATTTCATTCATTCATTTTTTTTTTAAAAGTTCTCATTAATTAAATGAAAGGTAACACTCTCCCACGCGTCAGGATGGCCGAGCGGTCTAAGGCGCTGCGTTCAGGTCGCAGTCCACTTCTGTGGGCGTGGGTTCGAATCCCACTTCGACAATGTAAATCTATTCAGTCATTTTTGAGGTTAAAGAACTAAATGCAAGGGTGGAAGATATTTTGCGTGTCAGGACGGACGAGCGGTTTAAGGCGGTTCAATCAGGTCGTAGTCTACTTCCGTGGGCGTTGGTTCGTATCCCATTTCTGACAATGTATTTATTTCAGTTATTTTTTGAAGTTAAAAAACTTTATGCAAGGGAAAGCAATTTTATGTCAGGATGGCCGAGAGGTCTAAGCGCGCTATTTTCAGGTCGCAGTCCATTTCTGTGGGCGTGGGTTCGAATCCCACTTCTGACAATAACATTTTATTCACATACTTTTCTTAGGTTACAAAAATTAAATGTAAGGGAAAACTCTTTCACATGTGAGGATGGCCGATCGGTCTAAGGCGCTGCGTTTAGATCACATTCCACTTCTGTGGGCGTGGGTTCGAATCCCACTTCTGACAATAAAATTTTATTCAGTCATTTTTTTTTTAGTTCTCATAACTTAAATGTAAGGAAACGATCTCAATGTCAGGATGGCCGAGTGGTCTAAGGCGCTGCAATCAGGTTGCAGTACAATTGCGTGTTCGGGGGTCCAACTCCCACGTCGAGCAATTATATTTAGTTAAGTTATTTTTTTTAGTTCTCATAAAGTAAATTAAAGGAAACGATTTCTTAAATTTCAGAATGGCCAAGCGGTCAAAGGCGCTGCGTTCATGACGAAGTCCACTCGGTTTTGGCGTAGGTTCGAATCCCTCTTCTGATAATGTAATTTTATTCAGTCATTATTTTTTTAGTTCTCATAAACTAAATGTAAGGGAAAGATCTTTCACAGGTTAAGATTCCTGAGTGGTCTAAAGCGCTGCGTTTAAGTCGCAGTAAAATTCTGCAGGCGTGGTTTCGGATTCCACGTTTGACAATTATATTTCATTCATTCAATTTTTAAGTTCTCATTAATTAAATGAAACGAAACTCTCTCCCACGTGTCAGGATGGCCGAGCGGTCTAAGGCGCTGCGTTCATGTCGCAGTCCACTTGTGTGGGCGTGTGTTCGAATCCCACTTCTGACAAGGTTTTTCTATTCAGTCATTTTTTGAGGTTAAAGAACTAAATGCAAGGGAAAGCTATTTTGCGTGTCAGTAGGGACGAGCGCTTTAAGGCGCTGCAATCAGGTCCTAGTCCACTTGCGTGGGTTCGAATCCCACATCTGACAATGTATTTCTTTCAGTCATTTTTTGAGGTTAAAAACTACATGCAAAGGAAAGCTATTTTGCGTGTCAGGATGGCCGAGCGGTCTAAGGCGCTGCGTTCAGGTCGCAGTCCACTTCTGTGGGCGTGGGTTCGAATCCCACTTCTGACAATAAAATTTTATTCACATACTTTTCTCAGGTTACAAACATTAAATGTAAGGGAAACTCTTTCACATGTGAGGATGGCCGATCGTTGTAAAGCGCTGCGTTTAGATCACATTCCACTTCTGTGGGCGTGGGTTCGAATCCCACACTGACAATAAATTTTATTCAGTCATTTTTTAGTTCTCATAACTTAAATGTAAGGAAACGTTCTCAATGTCAGGATGGCCGAGTGGTCTAAGGCGCTGCGTTTAGGTCACATTCCACTTCCGTGGGCGTGGGTTCGAATCCCACTTCTGACAATAAAATTTTATTCCGTCATTTTTTTTAGTTCTCATAACTTAAATGTAAGGAAACGCTCTCGCATGTGTCAGGATGGCCGAGCAGTCTAAGGCGCTGCAATCAGGTCGCAGTACACTTGCGTGTTCGATGGTCCAACTCCCACGTCGAGCAATTATATTTAGTTGAGTTATTTTTTTAGTTCTCATAAAGTAAATTAAAGGAAACATTTTCTCAAATTTCAGGATGGCCAAGCGGTCAAAGGCGCTGCGTTCATGTCGAAGTCCACCCGGTTTTTGGCGTGGGTTCGAATCCCACATCTGATAATGTAATTTTATTCAGTCATTATTTTTTTAGTTTTCATAAACTAAATGTAAGGGAAAGATCTTTCACAGGTTAAGATTCCTGAGTGGTCTAAAGCGCTGCGTTTAGGTCGTAGTAAAATACTGCAGGCGTTGTTTCGGATTCCACATTTGACAATTATATTTCATTCATTCATTTTTTTAAAGTTCTCATTAATTAAATGAAAGGAAACACTCTCCCACGCGTCAGGATGGCCGAGCGGTCTATGGCGCTGCGTTCAGGTCGCAGTCCATTTGTGTGGGCGTGGAGTTCGAATCCCACTTCGGACAATGTATTTCTATTCAGTCATTTTTTGAGGTTGAACTAAATGCAAAGCGTGGAAGTATTTTGCGTGTCAGGACGGACGAGCGGTTTAAGGCGCTTCAATCAGGTCGTAGTTGACTTAAAGAACTAAACGCGTTGGTTCGAATCCCATTTCTGACAATGTATTTCTTTCAGTCATTTTTTGAGGTTAAAAACTACATGCAAGGGGAAAGCTATTTTGTGTCAGGATGGCCGAGCGGTCTAAGCGCGCTGAGTTCAGGTCGCATTCCACTTCTGTGGGCGTGGGTTCGAATCCCACTTCTGACAATAAAATTTTATTCAGTCATTTTTTTTAGTTCTCAAACTTAAATGTAAGGGAAAACTTTTACATGTGTCAGGATGGCCGAGCAGTTTAAGCGCTGCTGCAATCAGGTCACAGTACACTTGCGTGTTCGGGGTCCAACTCCCACGTCGAGCAATTATATTTAGTTGAGTTATTTTTTTTTTTATTCATAAAGTAAATTAAAGGTTTTTTCTTAAATTTCAGGATAAGCGGTCAAATGTTCATGTCGAAGTCCACCCGGTTTTGGCGTGGGTTCGAATCCCACATCTGATAATGTTATTTTATTGAGTCATTATTTTTTTAGTTTTCATAAACTAAATGTAAGGCAAAGATTTTTCATAGGTTAAGATTCTGAGTGGTATCTGTGCTGCGTTCAGATCGTAGTCTGCAATTCCACTTTGACAATTATATTTTTCATTCAGTTTCATTTTTTAAAGTTCTCATTAATTAAATGAAAGGTAACACTCTCCCAACGCGTCAGGATGGCCGAGCGGTCTAATACGCTGCGTTCAGGTCGCAGTCCATTTGTGTGGGCGTGAGTTCGAATCCCACTTCTGACAATGTATTTTATTCAGTCATTTTTTGAGGTTAAAGAACTAAATGCAAGGCGTGGAAGATATTTTTGCACGTGTCAGGACGGACGAGCGGTTTAAGGCGCTTCAATCAGGTCGTACTTGCGCGTTCGGGTCAAACTCCACGTCGAACAATTATATTTAGTGAGTTTTTTTTTAGTTCTCATAAAGTAAATTAAAGGTTACGTTTTCTCAAATTTGGATGCCAACCGGTAGGCGCTTTCATGTCGAAGTCCACCCGGTTTTGGCGTGGGTTCGAATCCCACTTCTGATAATGTAATTTTATTGAGTCATTATTTTTTTAGTTTTCATAAACTAAATGTAAGGAAAGATCTTTCAGGTTAAGATGGCCGAGCGGTTTAAAGCGCGGCGTTTAAGTCGCAGTGAAATTCTGGGCAGGCGCTGTTTCGGATTCCACGTTTGACAATTATATTTTATTCATTCATTTTTTTAGGTCTCAAAAATTAAATAAAGGGAAACACTCTTTCACGTGTGAGGATGGCCGAGCGGTCTAAGGCGCTGCGTTTAGGCACATTCCACTTCTGTGGGCGTGGGTTCGAATCCCACTTCTGACAATGTATTTCTATTCAGTCATTTTTTTAGGTTAAAGAACTAAAATGGGGAAAGCTATTCTCAATGTCAGGATGGCCGAGCGGTCTAAGGCGCTGCGTTCAGGTCGCAGTCCACTTCTGTGGGCGTGGGTTCGAATCCCACTTCTGACAATAAAATTTTATTCAGTCATTTTTTTTTAGTTCTCATAACTTAAATGTAAGGAAACGCTCTCGCACGTGTCAGGATGGCCGAGCGGTCTAAGGCGCTGCAATCAGGTCGCAGTACACTTGCGCGTTCGGGGGTCAAACTCCCACGTCGAGCAATTATATTTAGTTGAGTTATTTTTTTTAGTTCTCATAAAGTAAATTAAAGGTTACGTTTTCTTAAATTTCAGGATGGCCAAGCGGTCAAAGGCGCTGCGTTCATGTCGAAGTCCACCCGGTTTTGGCGTGGGTTCGAATCCCACATCTGATAATGTAATTTTATTGAGTCATTTTTTTAGTTTTCATAAACTAAATGTAAGGCAAAGATTTTTCACAGGTTAAGATTCTGGAACGGTCTAAAGCGCTGCGTTCAGGTCGCAGTAAAATTCTGCAGGCGTTGGTTTCGGATTCCACATTTGACAATTATATTTCCTTCATTCATTTTTTAAGTTCTCATTAATTAAATGAAAGGAAACACTTTCCCACGCATCAGGATGGCCGAGTGGTCTAAAGCGCTGCGTTCAGGTCGCAGTCCACTTGTGTGGGCGTGGGTTCGAATCCCACTTCTGACAATGTATTTCTATTCAGTCATTTTTTGAGGTTAAAGAACTAAATGCAAGGGGAAAGATATTTTGCGTGTCAGGATGGGACGAGCGGTTTAAGGCGCTGCAATCAGGTCGTAGTCCCGTGGGCGTGGTTCGAATCCCACTTCTGACAATGTATTTTTTCAGTCATTTTTTGAGTTTAAAAAACTAAATGCAAGGGAAAGCATTTTGCGTGTCAGGATGGCCGAGCGGTCTAATGCGCTATTTTTCAGGTCGCAGTCCACTTCTGTGGGCGTGGGTTCGAATCCCACTTCTGACAATAAAATTTTATTCACATACTTTTCTTAGGTTCCAAAACTAAATGTAAGGAAACTCTTTCATGGCAAGTCAGGATGGCCGATCGGTCTAAGGCGCTGCGTTTTGATCATGGTCACATTCCACTTCTGTGGGCGTGGGTTCGAATCCCACTTCTGACAATAAAATTTTATTCAGTCATTTTTTTAGTTCTCATAACTTAAATGTAAGGAAACGATCTCGATGTCAGGATGGCCGAGGGGTCTAAGGCGCTGCAATCAGGTCGCAGTACACTTGCGTGTTCGGGGGTCCAACTCCCACGTCGAGCAATTATATTTAGTTGAGTTATTTTTTTTTAGTTCTCATAAAGTAAATTAAAGGTTACGTTTTCTTAAATTTCAGGATGGCCAAGCGGTCAAAGGCGCTGCGTTCATGTCGAAGTCCACCCGGTTTTGGCGTGGGTTCGAATCCCACATCTGATAATGTTATTTTATTGAGTCATTATTTTTTTAGTTTTCATAAACTAAATGTAAGGCAAAGATTTTTCATAGGTTAAGATTCCTGAGTGGTCTAAAGCGCTGCGTTCAGGTCGTAGTAAAATACTGCAGGCGTTGTTTCGGATTCCACATTTGACAATTATATTTCATTCATTCATTTTTTAAAGTTCTCATTAATTAAATGAAAGGTAACACTCTCCCACGCGTCAGGATGGCCGAGCGGTCTAAGGCGCTGCGTTCAGGTCGCAGTCCACTTGTGTGGGCGTGAGTTCGAATCCCACTTCTGACAATGTATTTCTATTCAGTCATTTTTTGAGGTTAAAGAACTAAATGCAAGGGTTGAAGATATTTTGCGTGTCAGGACGGACCGAGCGGTTTAAGGCGGTTCAATCAGGTCGTAGTCTACTTCCGTGGGCGTTGGTTCGTATCCCATTTCTGACAATGTATTTTTTTCAGTTATTTTTTGAAGTTAAAAAACTTTATGCAAGGGAAAGCAATTTTATGTCAGGATGGCCGAGAGGTCTAAGCCGCTATTTTCAGGTCGCAGTCCATTTCTGTGGGCGTGGGTTCGAATCCCACTTCTGACAATAACATTTTATTCACATACTTTTCTTAGGTTACAAAAATTAAATGTAAGGGAAAACTCTTTCACATGTGAGGATGGCCGATCGGTCTAAGGCGCTGCGTTTAGATCACATTCCACTTCTGTGGGCGTGGGTTCGAATCCCACTTCTGACAATAAAATTTTATTCAGTCATTTTTTTTAGTTCTCATAACTTAAATGTAAGGAAACGATCTCAATGTCAGGATGGCCGAGTGGTCTAAGGCGCTGCAATCAGGTCGCAGTACAATTGCGTGTTCGGGGGTCCAACTCCCACGTCGAGCAATTATATTTAGTTAAGTTATTTTTTTTAGTTCTCATAAAGTAAATTAAAGGAAACGATTTCTTAAATTTCAGAATGGCCAAGCGGTCAAAGGCGCTGCGTTCATGACGAAGTCCACTCGGTTTTGGCGTAGGTTCGAATCCCTCTTCTGATAATGTAATTTTATTCAGTCATTATTTTTTTAGTTCTCATAAACTAAATGTAAGGGAAAGATCTTTCACAGGTTAAGATTCCTGAGTGGTCTAAAGCGCTGCGTTTAAGTCGCAGTAAAATTCTGCAGGCGTGGTTTCGGATTCCACGTTTGACAATTATATTTCATTCATTCATTTTTTTAAGTTCTCATTAATTAAATGAAACGAAACTCTCTCCCACGTGTCAGGGATGGCCGAGCGGTTCAAGGCGCTGCGTTCATGTCGCAGTCCACTTGTGTGGGCGTGTGTTCGAATCCCACTTCTGACAATGTTTTTCTATTCAGTCATTTTTTGAGGTTAAAGAACTAAATGCAAGGGAAAGCTATTTTGCGTGTCAGTAGGGACGAGCGCTTTAAGGCGCTGCAATCAGTTCCTAGTCCACTTGCGTGCGTGGGTTCGAATCCCACATCTGACAATGTATTTATTTCAGTCATTTTTTGAGGTTAAAAACTACATGCAAAGGGAATGCTAAGATGGCCGAAAGCTCCATTTTGCGTGGGTTGTCAGGATGGCCCCACCCTTGGCAGCGGCGAAACGAAATGGCGCCAAGCAAACCCGACAACGTGACAAGGTAAATATAGCATTCCATTCATGTAAACAATACAGAAATTTTCGAATCCCATTTCTGACAATCCTTAAATTTTATGTAACATACTTCTGGAAAGTCTCGTCGCTCAGGTTCCGAAAGCGCCGCCATAAAACTGTAATGGTCGAACAAACTTTTGATTATGGAGAAAACGTTTTCCGATTAACTTACTATTGGAAAACCACGTCTTATACTTCTGCAAAATTATGTCCATTCAAATCCATCCAAACAACACTCTTTCGTTTTTAATCCCATTTGCTCATTACATTTAACATTCATAACTTGAACAATTATTCTCTTTCATACACCATTCTCAATCAATTCTTTCTACGTCTAGCATTCAATAACGTAAAAAATTCCTAACATGTTACAAGCGCAGCTGCGGTGCCCAACAACAAAATGAAATTTGTAGTCCACTTGCGTGTTCGTGGGCGTGGGTGTCGAATTAAAAAAACCACTAGCTTTTGCGTGTCAGGATGGCCGAGCGGTCTAATGTGTGCAATTTTATTCAGAATCCCACTTCTGAAAATGTATTTTTTAGTCATTTTTTCAGGTTAAAAACTTGCAAGGGAAAATGTCAGGATGGCTGAAACGTTCAGGTCAGCATGGGCGTGTTCAGACAATAAAATTTTATTCACATATGGCAAACACTAAATGTAAGCGAAACTCTTTACTGTCAGGATGGATGATCGTTGTAAAGCGCTGCGTTTAGATCACATTCCACTTCTGTGGGCGTGGGTTCGAATTCCACTACCTGACAATAAAATTTTATTCAGTCTTTTTTTTAGTTCTCATAACTTAAATGTTTTTTTTTTTTTGGCTGAGCGGTCATAACGGTCGCAGTCCATGTCAGAAACGGTTGGCCGAGCGGTAAGGCGCTGCAATCAGGGCGTACTCTTGGTTCGAGTCCAACTCCCACGTCGAGCAATTATAAGGGCATAAAGTAAATTGCGTCAAATTTCAGGATGGCCAAGCGGTCAAAGGCGCTGCGTTGATGACGAAGTCCACATTTTCCACTGATAATATAATTTTATTCAGTCATTATTTTTTTAGTCTCATAAACTAAATGTAAGGGAAAGTTCACAGGTTAAATTCCAGCGGTTTAAAGCGCTGACGTGTTTAAGTCGCAGTGAAAATTTTATTCACGTCATTTTTTTTTAGTTCTCATAACTTCATGTAAATGAAAGGAAACCCTCTCGCACGTGTCAGGATGGCCGAGCGGTCTATGGCGCTGCGTTCAGGTCGCAGTCCGCTTGTGTGGGCGTGGGTTCGAATCTCACTTCTGACAATGTATTTCTATTCAGTGATTTTTTGAGGTTAAAGAACTAAACGCAAGGGAAAGCTGTCCTGTGTGTCAGGATGGCCGAGCGGTCTAAGGCGCTGCTTTTAGATCACATTCCACTTCTGTGTGCGTGGGTTCGAATCCCACTTCTGACAATAAAATTTTATTCAGTCATTTTTTTTAGTTCTCATAACTTAAATGTAAGGAAACGCTCTCGCATGTGTCAGGATGGCCGAGCAGTCTAAGGCGCTGCAATCAGGTCGCAGTACACTTGCGTGTTCGGGGGTCCAACTCCCACGTCGAGCAATTATATTTAGTTGAGTTATTTTTTTTAGTTCTCATAAAGTAAATTAAAGGTTACGTTTTCTTAAATTTCAGGATGGCCAAGCGGTCAAAGGCGCTGCGTTCATGTCGAAGTCCACCCGGTTTTGGCGTGGGTTCGAATCCCACATCTGATAATGTTATTTTATTGAGTCATTATTTTTTTAGTTTTCATAAACTAAATGTAAGGCAAAGATTTTTCATAGGTTAAGATTCCTGAGTGGTCTAAAGCGCTGCGTTCAGGTCGTAGTAAAATACTGCAGGCGTTGTTTCGGATTCCACATTTGACAATTATATTTCATTCATTCATTTTTTAAAGTTCTCATTAATTAAATGAAAGGTAACACTCTCCCACGCGTCAGGATGGCCGAGCGGTCTAATACGCTGCGTTCAGGTCGCAGTCCATTTGTGTGGGCGTGAGTTCGAATCCCACTTCGGACAATGTATTTCTATTCAGTCATTTTTTGAGGTTAAAGAACTAAATGCAAGGGTGGAAGATATTTTGCGTGTCAGGACGGACGAGCGGTTTAAGGCGGTTCAATCAGGTCGTAGTCTACTTCCGTGGGCGTTGGTTCGTATCCCATTTCTGACAATGTATTTCTTTCAGTTATTTTTTGAAGTTAAAAAACTTTATGCAAGGGAAAGCAATTTTGTGTGTCAGGATGGCCGAGAGGTCTAAGCCGCGGAGTTCAGGTCGCAGTCCATTTCTGTGGGCGTGGGTTCGAATCCCACTTCTGACAATAACATTTTATTCACATACTTTTCTTAGGTTACAAAAATTAAATGTAAGGGAAAACTCTTTTTCACATGTGAGGATGGCCGATCGGTCTAAGGCGCTGCGTTTAGATCACATTCCACTTCTGTGGGCGTGGGTTCGAATCCCACTTCTGACAATAAAATTTTATTCAGTCATTTTTTTTAGTTCTCATAACTTAAATGTAAGGAAACGATCTCAATGTCAGGATGGCCGAGTGGTCTAAGGCGCTGCGTTCAGGTCGCAGTCCAACGATTTCTCAGAATGGGCGTGGGTTCGAATCCCGGTTTGGGCGTGGTTCGACAATACAATTTTATTCAGTCATTTTTTTAGTTCTCAAAAACTAAATGTGTCATGGTGTAACTCTAAGGCGCTGCGTTCAGGTCGCAGTAAAATTCTGCGCGGCGTGGTTTCGAACTCCCAATGACAATTATATTTCATTCATTCATTTTTTAGTTCTCAAAAATTAAATGAAAGGCACGTGTCAGCGGAGGCGCTGCGTTCATGTCGAAGAGTTGGCGTGTGGTCTAAGGCGCTAAATGCAATCAGGTCGCAGTAAACTTGCGCGTTTCAACGCAGGTAAAAACGTCCCGTGGTCGAACAATTATATTTAGTTTGAGTTTTTTTTTAGTTCTCATAAAGTAAATTAAAGGTTACGTTTTCTCAAATTACGTGTCAGGATGGCCGAGCGGTCAAAGGCGCTGCGTTCATGTCGAAGTCCACTTCGGTTTTGGCGTGGGTTCGAATCCCACTTCTGATAATGTAATTTTATTGAGTCATTATTTTTTTAGTTTTCAAAAACTAAATGTAAGGGAAAAGATCTTTCACAGGTTAAGATTCCTGAGCGGTCTAAAGCGCTGCGTTTAAGTCGCAGTAGTCCACTTGCAGGCGTGGTTTGGATTCCACGTTTCGGGCAATTATATTTCATTCATTCATTTTTTTTTAAGTTCTCATTAATTAAATAAAAGGAAACACTCTCCCACGTGTAAGGATGGCCGAGCGGTCTAAGGCGCTGCGTTCAGGTCGCAGTCCACTTGTGTGGGCGTGGGTTCGAATCCCACATCTGACAATGTATTTCTATTCAGTTATTTTTTGAGGTTAAAGAGCTAAATGCAAGGGAAAGCTATTTTGCGTGTCAGGTGGGACGAGCGCTTTAAGGCGCTGCAATCAGGTCCTAGTCCACTTGCGTGGGTTCGAATCCCACTTCTGAAAATGTATTTCTTTCAGTCATTTTTTGAGTTTAAAAAGTACATGCAAGGGAAAGCTATTCTGCGTGTCAGGATGGCCGAGCGGTCTAATGCGCTGCGGTCAGGTCTCAGTCCACTTCTGTGGGCGTGGGTTCGAATCCCACTTCTGACAATAAAATTTTATTCACATACTTTACTTAGGTTCCAAACACTAAATGTAAGGAAACTCTTTCACAAGTCAGGATGGCTGATCGGTCTAAGGCGCTGCGTTTTGATCATGTTCCACTTCTGTGGGCGTGGGTTCGAATTCCACTTCTGACAATAAAATTTTATTCCGTCATTTTTTTTTTTAGTTCTCATAACTTAAATGTAAGGAAACGCTCTCGCACGTGTCAGGTTGGCCGAGCGGTCTAAGGCGCTGCAATCAGGTCGCAGTACTCTTGCGTGTTCGATGGTCCAACTCCCACGTCGAGCAATTATATTTAGTTGAGTTATTTTTTTTAGTTGTCATAAAGTAAATTAAAGGAAACATTTTCTCAAATTTCAGGATGGCCAAGCGGTCAAAGGCGCTGCGTTGATGTCGAAGTCCACTCAATTTTGGCGTGGGTTCGAATCCCACTTCTGATAATATAATTTTATTCAGTCATTATTTTTTTAGTTCTCATAAACTAAATGTAAGGAAATCTTTCACAGGAAAGATCTTTCGAGCAGGTTAAGATTTTATGAGGTCGCAAAAGCGGTTTAAAGGCGCTGCGTTTAAGTCAGTGAAATGCAGGCCACGTTTGACAATTATATTTTATTCATTCATTTTTTTAAGTTCTCATTAATTAAATGAAAGGAAACACTCTCCCACGTGTCAGGATGGCCGAGCGGTCTATGGCGCTGCGTTCAGGTCGCAGTCCGCTTGTGTGGGCGTGGGTTCGAATCTCACTTCTGACAATGTATTTCTATTCAGTGATTTTTTGAGGTTCAGAACTAAACGCAAGGGAAAGCTGTCCTGTGTTTCAGGATGGCCGAGCGGTTCAAGGCGCTGCTTTTAGATCACATTCCACTTCTGTGTGCGTGGGTTCGAATCCCACTTCTGACAATAAAATTTTATTCAGTCATTTTTTAGTTCTCATAACTTAAATGCAAGGGGGAAACGCTCTCGCATGTGTCAGGATGGCCGAGCAGTCTAAGGCGCTGCAATCAGGTCGCAGTACACTTGCGTGTTCGGGGGTCCAACTCCCACGTCGAGCAATTATATTTAGTTGAGTTATTTTTTTAGTTCTCATAAAGTAAATTAAAGGTTACGTTTTCTTAAATTTCAGGATGGCCAAGCGGTCAAAGGCGCTGCGTTCATATCGAAGTCCACCCGGTTTTGGCGTGGGTTCGAATCCCACATCTGATAATGTTATTTTATTGAGTCATTATTTTTTTAGTTTTCATAAACTAAATGTAAGGCAAAAGATTTTTCATAGGTTAAGATTCCTGAGTGGTCTAAAGCGCTGCGTTCAGATCGTAGTAAAATACTGCAGGCGTTGTTTCGATTCCACATTTGACAATTATATTTCATTCATTCATTTTTTAAGTTCTCATTAATTAAATGAAAGGTAACGCTCTCCCACGCGTCAGGATGGCCGAGCGGTCTAATACGCTGCGTTCAGGTCGCAGTCCATTTCTGTGGGCGTGAGTTCGAATCCCACTTCTGACAATGTATTTCTATTCAGTCATTTTTTGAGGTTAAAGAACTAAATGCAAGCGTGGAAGATATTTTGAGTGTCAGGACGGACGAGCGGTTTAAGGCGCTTCAATCAGGTCGTAGTCTACTTCCGTGGGCGTTGGTTCGTATCCCATTTCTGACAATGTATTTTTTCAGTTATTTTTTGAAGTTAAAAACTTTTATGCAAGGGAAAGCAATTTTGTGTGTCAGGATGGCCGAGAGGTCTAAGCCGCTGAGTTCAGGTCGCAGTCCATTTCTGTGGGCGTGGGTTCGAATCCCACTTCTGACAATAACATTTTATTCACATACTTTTCTTAGGTTACAAAAATTAAATGTAAGGGAAAACTCTTTCACCTGTGAGGATGGCCGATCGGTCTAAGGCGCTGCGTTTAGAGCACATTCCACTTCTGTGGGCGTGGGTTCGAATCCCACTTCTGACAATAAAAATTTTATTCAGTCATTTTTTTAGTTCTCATAACTTAAATGTAAGGAAACGATCTCAATGTCAGGATGGCCGAGTGGTCTAAAGGCGCTGCAATCAGGTCGCAGTATGCAATTCTGTGTTCGGGGGTCCAACTCCCACGTCGACAATTATATTTAGTTAAGATATTTTTTTTAGTTCTCATAAAGTAAATGTAAAGGAAACGATTTCTTCACGTTTCAGAATGGCCAAGTGGTCAAAGGCGCTGCGTTCATGTCGAAGTCCACTTGCGGTTTTGCGTAGGTCGAACTCCCTCTTCTGACAATTATATTTATTCAGTCATTTTTTTTAGTTCTCATAAACTAAATGTAAGGGAAAGATTTTCTCACAGGTTAAGATTCCTGAGCGGTCTAAAGTGCTACGTTTAAGTCGCAGTCCAAAATTTGCAGGCGTGGTTTCGTATTCCACGTTTGACAATTATATTTCATTCATTCATTTTTTTAAGTTCTCATTAATTAAATGAAAGGAAAGATCTCTCCCACGTGTCAGGATGGCTGAACGGTCTAAGGCGCTGCGTTTATGTCGCAGTCCATTCTGGGCGTGGTTTCGAATCCCACGTTTTACAATTTATTTCATTCATTCATTTTTTGAGGTTAAAGAACTCTCCCACGTGTAAGGATGGCCGAGCGGTCAGACGAGGCGCTGCGTTAGGTCCAGTCCACTTGGGCGTGGGTTCGAATCCCACATCTGACAATGTATTTCTATTCAGTCATTTTTTGAGGTTAAAAACTACATGCAAAGGGAAAGCTATTTGCGTGTCAGGATGGCCGAGCGGTTTAAGGCGCTGCGTTCAGGTCGCAGTCCACTCCTGTGGGCGTGGGTTCGAATCCCACTTCTGACAATAAAATTTTATTCACATACATTTTTTGAGTTTAAAATTACATGTAAGGGAAAGCTATTCTGCGTGTCAGGATGGCCGAGCGGTCTAATGCGCTGCGTTTAGGTCACATTCCACTTCTGTGGGCGTGGGTTCGAATCCCACTTCTGACAATAAAATTTTATTCACATTTTTTTAGGTTCTCAAACTTAAATGTAAGGAAACTCTTTCAATGTCAGGATGGCCGATCGGTCTAAGGCGCTGCGTTCAGATCATGTTCCACTTCTGTGGGCGTGGGGTTCGAATCCCACTTCTGACAATAAAATTTTATTCAGTCATTTTTTTTAGTTCTCATAACTTAAATGTAAGGAAAACGCTCTCGCATGTGTCAGGATGGCCGAGCAGTCTAAGGCGCTGCAATCAGGTCGCAGTACACTTGCGTGTTCGGGGGTTCCAACTCCCACGTCGAGCAATTATATTTAGTTGAGTTATTTTTTTTTAGTTCTCATAAAGTAAATTAAAAGGTTACGTTTTCTCAAATTTCAGGATGGCCAAGCGGTCAAAGGCGCTGCAGTGTTCATGACGAAGTCCATTCGGTTTTGGCGTGGGTTCCGAATCCCACTTCTGATAATATAATTTTATTCAGTCATTATTTTTTTAGTTCTCATAAACTAAATGTAAGGGAAAGATCTTTCACA